GAAGGGGGGACACAGGAGTTAGAGTTGTGGCCAGTGGCGCTGCCGGATGGTGCTTCTTGCGGTCTGTGGCGCGGCGTGCGGCGGGGGGATTCACCCCGCTCGCCCTCTTCCACGCGTGGCCCCCCGCCCCGATGGCCCGCCGGCTTTCTTGTCCCATGGGAGGGCGTGTGTGCGCAGGCGGGCAGGCAGCAAGGGGCGGAGAAGAAAAGAAAAAAAAAGAAGGAAAAAGGCCCGGGCCGGCGCGACGCACCGGTTCCAGGAGATGACATTGACATCGGTCTTGTGGGCCTTGACCGACAGGGCGGCATTCTGCCGGCGACGGGTGTCCCACACCTTGATGGTCTTGTCCGACGAGCAGGAGGCGAAGACCGTGTCCTCGGTGGGACTCCACTGGATGTCCTCCACCGACCCGGAGTGCCCGGTGTACGGCTTCTTCTCCACCTGCCAGCTGGACTGGCCGTGCATCTGCCAGCGGTAAATCATCTTCGAGCAGTCACCCGTCAGCAGGCTGCCCTTGACGGTGGGCGACCAGTCCATGGCGAAGCCCTCGTCCATGTGCCCGGAGAAGGTGAACAGCGGCCCGGTGTTGACGGCCGGCACGGTGCCCGGCACGTCCAGCTGGTCCACCAGGTTGGTCAGGTCGTGCAGGAAGACGCGCGCATTCTCCGACCAAGTGGCGCAAATGTTGGTCCCAGGCATGAGCTAAGGCCGGGCCAGGGTGCGAGGGCGGGCGGGGAGGGGGGGGAGGGAGGGGACGTGGTGAGAGGGTGGCCCCAAGCGAGAAGACCAGCACCCCGGGGGAGGGGAGGGCCAGCTGGCAGCAGTGGCAGCAGCAACTGCAACAGCAACCAGCACAAAGCAGGGCACATGCGATGGGGGGGGGGGGGGCAGGTGAAAACGCACACGCAGGCGGTTGACGCCACCCATGTGCTTGATGGAGCGGTACTCCAGCACGGGGTCCGTGTCGTAGGAGTCGTCCTCCTCGTCCTCGGAGTCGGTGAGCGCGCCATCGTCGTACTTGGTGCGCGGCAGCTGGCTCATCTTCATCAGCTGGATCATGTTCTTGGAGGGCCGGTCGGCCTGGGTGCCGGTCACCACATAGGCGGTGGCGGGGTACTGTGCGCAGAGGCGCCAGCAGGAGGGCGAGGAGGCAGCTGTCAGTGGGCCATCCGACAGGGACACCGCGCAGGGCAGCGCCTGCGACCGACAAGATGCCAGGAGCAGGTGGCGAAGGACCCCCAGGGGGAGGGGGGGGG